TCTTTTCATCTTTTATTGTTAACATACCTAGGTTCCTGCCTGGAGAATTTGGTGATCCCCTGCTACTAGACACGAAGGCCTGTTAAGCGAAAGCTTCTTCTATTCCGTCCACAACCATTTGAACCATTTGAACCATACGAACTATTTGAATACAAGTTGCTTTATGGATATTGGATATTGAAGTTGAAGGTGACACTAACGTGGGATGTAGGGTTTGTTGCGTTATATTGTGATTCCTCGTAGTCTTGCGGTCTTGGCAAATGTCTCGGGTTCCATTCATGGCAAAAATTACTTCCAAGTGATTAGTTTTGACAACGTTAAACATCTTTCCAGGCTAACACATGTCAATTGTATTGATACGTATTTTTCTTGTATATATGAAATATCGTAATTAAATGTTGCTAGGTTTTCCACGTAAAACTGTGTATGATGCTACTGCACACTGCGTTATTTTTAATTTTACTCGAGCCAGGTGTTATTTGTTGCAGATCTAGTGTGCTCACCACTCCATTAGTCGTAGAAAATCTTCCACCCAAGCTCCCAACTTTGGGGGAATTTTTGGGAAATCCCCATAGTGAAATAGCCTTCCCCAAGGTTTGGGGTTTTTGTCCCATCTCCCCAAAGTTTATTATAGCGGCTTCCCCAAGATGTGCCAAATTTTCCACAAAATTGGAAGCTTAGGCGGATACACATTTAAAATTGCGTCCTAGAGAATCAAGTTTCTGGTTGTTCTGTCTTTGACAATTGTCTTGTCCCGGGTTAGTCTCTAAACCTGATGGAGGACTGAACTGTCGTCGATCGAACATGTACTACGCCTTTTTGAGGAAAAAAACAGTTAAATCGATTGTGTTTCAGTCCTCAAGTGTTGTTGAACACAGCTAATCTTCTAATACCACATATCATAGATAAATCAACAAGGCTCTCTTCCTATGATGTTTCAAAGCCCCATGACTCAGTCCTGTCTAAGATGGGGTACTAGTGAAAAATCTGTTGTTCTACGGAAATATGTGTTTACAAAACTTTTCATGAACGTGTCATATCTGGTTTGGTTCACTCTTTCTTTTCAGCGCACTTGTTCCTTACATTACTTCTTTTTGTCGTAATATCTTATTATCACTTGTAAATGTTCAATTTGTCACTTTTCCATGTTTTAGATAGAATGAAACTTAAACTTCAAAACCAGTAAGAATGATTATTATCGTTTAGCTTATTATATTTTAACACTGCCACTTCTAAAATTAATAAGTTTATCAGGAACCATTTATTTCAGGCATCCAAAGGATGCTTTCACCTTCCAAATAAGGGGTAAAGTGTTTGTGACTTCAACATCTAAACTGTAGTGTAACCACTTATTAACAATTGGTCAATTCAGTTTTTGAAATGTGATTCTTAAAATCAAGGTTGTATTTATATACATGTATGTCGTTTTTAATTGTCTGTTTTCATTTTACTACAGAATTTACTAGCATTATTAGCTTATCGTCATCAACTCGATCACCAAGGGTTCTATGTTTTCTTCGTTGAGATTAGGGAAATAACACTTTTATCTTCTGTTGTTCAGTTATGTGAAGAGAATCAAATGCTCATAGTTGTGGTTAAACAAAGTGCTCAACCTACTTAGCTTTATTGTCACGTCATTATGGAGGCCTCAGGAGAGTTCTGCGTTTACGAGGTAATCAGAGCAGCATATTAAATATGTCATTCAGGTAAAACCTGGAGATTCACTGTCGGCTATCGCTGCCCAGTTGGGTTTTGTAACCCCTACTCAGATTGCTAGAGCCAATCATTTGCCCCTCATGAGTTATGGCCTCCCTCCCGTTTTTCCTGGTCAACGTTTAATTATTCCAACAGCTGCACGTGCAAATTGCAGTGTAAGTTTATTATAATATATTTTTTGGAGTGTAATGATTGACTTTGCTTATAAATGGTCATGAAAATGTAGTACTAATTGGAGAATAAGGAAAATTAATAGTATTTTTTAAAATGCTATATAAACATCCATACTCTAACGAGCACTTTAGATTTAGGTTCATTAGGAAATGCTTTAATTAAATTACAAATCAATGAACCGTATCTGTTTTAACGGATTTCATCAATATTTTTTTAGTTGGATAAATAAAAAGTTTATGATCAACTGGGCATCCATATAAATCAATGGAACTATAAGTTAGTTCGATGAGACTCATTTGCATGTAGAATTTCTTAGTTTGCTTGAAAAAATCCCACATTTGAATTTATCGCAATCATATCCTGAGCTCGGTCTTTGTAGTTAAACAGTTTCACATAAAATTCCATTGCTACTACATTGAGCACAGAATAAATGAAGTGTTTATTTCCGTAATGTATGTTCTTTCCACTTTCAACGTCTTTTCCTTATTCCCTCTTCATCTGCAAGCTGGTTTGTTCTCTCCTGCAGTAGGCTGTTGCTGATCTTATCCGGCTAACGGACATTAAGTATCATGTGTAGACAAATGTTGATAAATACTTATACTTTTTAATGACAATTGTGGTAGTTCTCCAGGCTTTAGCTCCGTACAGCAGAAGTTTTGACGTTCGTATTGAAGATTCCAACTTTGCTGTTAACTTTCAGACAGTCCTTTTAAGTTCTATATGCTGTTCAACTGTAGGAACGCTGCCCTTACTTTGTCAATGCTTTCCTTTACGTCTGCATCGGATCCTCCTCGTTCATCGATGATGCTGACCATTCAGGAGCGTGGAAGATTCCTCATCACCCAGAGCTTCTCCATCAAGTGTGATCGGGTTGGCGCTCTTCGTGTTCTATTTGAGGATCTTGGTTTTCCTCTTGTGTATGTTGAGCCCTACTGGTGTAGAGGCTGCTGCTACACTAGTTGTCTTCATCTGCATTTGTTGCTATGTATAGGATAATCTGTGAAGTTCAAATCCTTTAGTTAGATCTAATCTCTCTATTGTATTCCGTGCTTCCCCTCAAATGTCTAGCTCCTCATAATCAAGGCAACGACTAGAAAAGAGAAAAAGGCTGGGAGTAGGCAACCTTGTCTGCCTCCGGTTCTCACTTGGGATGCGTCTGTCAGTTGTCCTCCACGCACGACTTTGCACTGTAGTCCGTTGTATGAATCCCGGATGATATTGACGGTCTCAGGTACACCATAGTGTCGAAGAAGTTTCCATTGGGTCCTCCTATACACACTATCAAACGCCTTCTCATAGTCAATGAAGTTGATGTATAGTGACAAGTAACACTCAACTGATTGTTTGACGATGATCCGTAGTGTCGCAATTTGGTCTGTGCACGACCAATCCTTACAGAATCCAGCCTGTTGATCTCGAAGTTGGGTGTCTACTGTGTCTTTCATCCGGTTCAGCTACACTGTTGAAAACTTTCCCTGGTACTGACAGTTGTGTGATGCCTCTGTAGTTTTCACATTTACTCAGGTCTCCTTTCTCTGGTGTCTTGATGAGGAATCATTCTCTTCTGTCCGTCTGCACATTTACTTTCTCGGAATCTTCCTGAATAGAACGTGAAATATACTTGTAGTTCTATGTCTGACTTCAGAGCTTCAGCTGGCATATTGTCAGGTCCTACTGCTTTCCCACTCCTGATTCGTCTGATGACCGGTCATCCTGATTTCTTCGATTGTTGACTGGGTGACATCTATAGGAAGGTTTGTAGGTGCCGCTTGGATGTCCGGTGGATTCATTGAAGCTGACCTATTCGAGAGTTCCTCAAAGTGTTCTTCCCATCTGTTCTTCTGTTCTTGAATCTCAGTGATTGTCTTGCCTTTTTTGTTCTTGACTGCTTCCTCTGGTTTACTATATTTCCCTACTAGTTTCTTCGTCGTGTCACATAATTGTTTGATATTTCCTGTTGCAGCTTTTACCTCTGTCGCTGCTAGGCCGTCCACATATTTCTGCTCGTCAGCTCTAATACTCTTCACTTGTTTGCTTCTATGCATTCAGTTTGTACCTTGACTTACTCTGCTCGTGTTCGGCTGTTGTTAATCGCTATCTTTTTCTTCCTTTCTTGAATCTTGTCTAAGGTTTCGACAGAGATCCATTCTTTATGATGATGTTTCTTCCGATCCAGAACCTCCTGACACATTGAAGTAGGTGCTTCTTTGATCCCACTCCAGATATCCTCCATCTTACTTTCTTCTTTCAGTAGATCCTGTAAGTCTTAGAACCTTTTGCTGCTAGCTTTCTTGAATTCGTTGAGTTTGTCAGTATCTCGAAGGAAAGCTGTACTAAACCTTAGTACTGCTGTTTGTCCAGTTGTCCATTGCTTCTTTAGCTTCAGTTTGATTTTGGCCACAACCGGGTGGTGATCTAAAGTTATGTCAGTTCCTCTCCTGGTTCTCACGTCTTCCATCGACCTTTTGAATTTTTTAGTGGTGCAAATATGATCGGTCTGGTTTTGTGTAGTGTGATCCGATGAGACCCATGTAGCTTTGTGTATGCGTTTGTAGGGGAATATTGTGCCACCTATAACCACTTTGTTAAATGAACATAAATTCTCAAATCTGTCACCGTTCTAGTTCTTTTTTCTCAGTCACTCCATATTGTCCCATGATATCTTAATATCTGGTGTTGTCCATCCCGACTTCGGCGTTTAGGTCTCTCATTAGGATGGTCAGGTCGTTTTCTGAGCACTTCGCTATGATCGATTACAGTCTCTCATAAAACTGTTGCTATTACTCGTGGGTGCATAATGCTGGATAACATTCATTGTAATTCCCTCCTTTGTTGTCAAAGATGCTTTGATGGTCCTGAGTCCACGAGATTCTTACCTTACCATTGCATTACATGCTTCTTTGAACAGTATCAGAGAAACTCTCTGAGTGTGTGGAGCATTTTCTTCGTGACCAGAGTACATCAGCGTGTCTCCCAAATCTAATTTTTTCTCTCCAGCTTGAGTCCGATGGGTTTCACTTAGTCTAAACACCGTCAAGTTGTGTCTCCTGATTCCTACAACTATTTGATTGATCCTCCCGATCTCCCACATTGTCTGATCATTCCATGTACTTGTGTTAATTGTTGATGTGGTTGTTAGAAGGGTAATCGGCCTTGTGACTTCCGGAGAATCTAGGCTTTCATCATGAGGCTTGATAATTGTTCTGAATGAAGATCGTTTGACTTGGAGAGCAGAGTTTCAATGGTTTATTCTGGTTAGCGTCGCCCAAGCCATGCAATCCGCACTTAATCAGTTGGCAATCAGTGTCCGTAGGTATGGTATGTGCTTTGTACCTTCGAAGTGCAAAGTACTTCGACAAGACTGGCAGGATTCCAATCCTGTACTCACCTTGGATGGTGAGCAGATAGAAGTAGTCGAGAAGTTCGTGTATCTAGGTAGCTGCATAAGTGCTGGTGGGGGTGTGAGTGATGAGATCAATGCACGAATAGTGAAAGCCAGAGCGGCTTATGCCAATCTGGGCCACCTTTGGCGCCTTCGTGATGTTAGTCTGGCTGTAAAAGGTCGGATCTACAACGCGTCAGTGAGAGCAGTTTTACTCTATGCTTGTGAAACCTGGCCTCTCCGAGTTGAGGATGTTAGACGACCCTGTGTTCGATCATCGTCGTCTCCGAAGGATTGCTGACATCCAGTGGCAACACCATGTCAGTAATGCAGAGGTTCGGCATCGTGTGTTCGGGCACAGAGATGATAATGCAATCAATGTCACCATCTTGAAACACCGACTTCGGTGGCTTGGACATGTTCTCCGAATGTCGTCCCAGAGAATTCCACGTCGTGCATTATTTGCCGACTCTGGGACTGGTTGGAAGAAGCGGAGAGGTGGTCAGTGCATGACATGGTGTCGGGGCATGAAAGAAAGCTGCAAAGGACTGGCTTGTGTTAGTCCTTCACAACTCCCTGACTGGGGTCCGAGAAATGGTGCAACACAGTGGTTAGAGACGTTATCAGATATGGCTCAGAATAGAAACCAGTGGCGATCCTGCTATAACCTTCTTTTACTTTCTTCATAGAAAGTGGTTGTATCTTCCTTAACTGAAAGATTTCTTCTGATTATACCTTTCCGTTCCCTCATTATTACTATTATTATTACTACACTACCTTACACCAATCTCTTCGTTATTGTTCTCTTTTTTTTTCTTTCTCTTCGAATTCTCATTGTTTTGTGTGGCGCATATATATTGGCGCTCTCTTGTACCAATATTTATGTGTTCAAATAGATAAATAATAAATAAATACGGGATAGGTTTTCTGACTTTATGCTCAACCTTCCTCCCTCACTCGTGCTTGGGACCGATAGTGACCCTAGAAGAGCTACAGGCGGAGTTAAAGGAATTTATTGGGACATCTGAGATTGTAACATGTTTGCTCGAATATGTATAAATTCACAAAAACGTTGAAGTCCAACCAATTTAAAGTGATTATATTCTTTACAGTTGGTTCATCGCTTCCTTTTATTTATCCTTTTAAATTTCTCTTTATGTACTATTATGAAGTGCAACAACTAAACAGAATGGGGGTTTATGGAGATTGTAGTAATTAAATAGATGAATTCATGAGCCGATTAAAGCTAGACCACCATGGAAAACCTGCAAGCACTGGACGGCCGTTTTATCCTAGTATGAGACTCCTCAGCAGTGCGCACCCACAACCCCTATGCGGGGCTCGGACCCCGGATCTTCAGTCTCAACAACTTAAACCAATTGACATTTTCATCAGATCTTACACCTTATTGAATCACCTAGTCAGTAAAGTTGTTCATAGAGTCAGCTCGTTGCCCTTATATTTTGAACTCTTAAATTTCTTTTAACTAGCTTTCTTATCTGAAATAATCTTCCTAAGTGAATACTCGGCACAGACGTAAAATAATCCATACATCTCATCAATAAATTCCGATCATTTAACTGCATAGCGACTTTCCCTTAAGAAGCACCGCGAGTCAAACTGTTATTTTTGGTGTAGTTTTTTTCACCAGCATTAGTGGTCAAGCCTTTTCTACCTCATTTTTATGCAGGTGCATTTAACAGGATTGCATACTATTGTCCTGATTGTTTTGTCTGCTCTGCATTTTTCAAATGCTGATCAGGCTTATGACTTTTTGATTTGTTGCATTATATTTTCGTACATAGTTTACCCAATCACAAACGGATACTTTCCATTAAATGTTTTCGATAACTAGTTAAAATGCAGTTAAGCATACATTCATATTCATCTGAATATTTTAAGTCTTAATATAGGTTCCTTATTTAACAAAAGAGATTTACATGTCTTTCATCTGAGCTAAAAATGATGGTTTCATAACCATATATTCATTGCAGTTAGATAACATTTTAAAACAGATTTCACTCAGGGTTCAGCATAAGAAGATTATTTTCGTACACTTCATCCTTTATTTTGTGATTCCAGTCAACTAAAATAAAGCATCTTCCTGGTGTTGCGTTGCGTATAGAAGATATGGATAAGCAAAATGTCGATACTACAAGTACTGGATTTCTAGCTGTTCAACCCTTCTTTTATACAACACGTGTTTTGAATCCTAATAAATCCTATCCCATTGATGATGATGCCCTGGAACGCCAATTTGTTAAAGTGAATGCCTTTCGTGTTCTAGAAAGTCTTGATGTAAGTTTTACTAGTATCCAAATGTTTACTTTTTTGTTATATGGCTGAATACCTCATTACTGTTAATGTGCTCTTAAGAATCCATAGTCCTAGTGATTTTAATCAATGGTAATCTAGAAATCTTGTCTGTTGTTTATAAAAAGAAGTGCTAGTTGTAAGTTATGAAGAAATAGGATACGGCAGAGTGTTAAATCAATGCCCTGACATCTGGAATATTAACTGGATCTTCATTATGATTCGATGTCGATCTCATCCTTTTTACAATCCATCAGGTTTGCTACGCTATTTTATACGTGATGGTAATTCATGACTCCAGATAATTGGACCCGATTAGTGGGCATTAAATAACTAGGGTTTAATATCTATTTTCATTCATTATGAAGGCTTACAGTCTTATGGACGCTCATTATCCTTTTGAAATTCAAAGTTTTGTCGTTCAATGTCATAGCTCAAGGTTCTAAGAATAAGCTGCTTGATTCATGGTGGAACTCTTCAGTAGTAGATCATTTTTCTAAACCGGTTGTATGACTATTTTCCAGTCATCCACCTTAGTGATCATATTTAACTTTTAGCTCTCAAACTTTCATCAGAAATAAACATCGAAAATTTATCATCTAGTTCCTGATTCTATACTAATAATTAGTGTATAATAGCAGAATATCGACTAAACAAAAATCATTCTTTTATTTAAACTCTCCAATATCGAAGTTTTTGGATTGTATCTGTGGTTTTTTTTATCTCTCTTCTCTCTAGAATTTGATAGATGGTGTTTTGTTGGTCACACCTGAATCTTTGTGTTTCGACGCAAGTCAAACTGCAGTAGCTCAAAAACAGGCTTACATTGCTTCTCATTCTGAATTATCTTCAAGTGATTATAACATTGATGCTACTCATAACAAAATGATTGAATCACATCATGACTCTGACAATAAATCATCCACCTGCCATGATAATAATGTTGAGTTTTCTTGTTGCCATATTCCTCAAGAACTACTAAATTTAGGATTATGCATTCCATTAGCCTCAATCATTGCCATGAAAACGCTTGTTGAAAACGATGTTATACATATTTTAAAGTTAGTGTTTGTTTATGTGCCTTAATTATTACCACTTTCATACCACGTACTTATTATATTTAAATAAAACAACAAGTCATAAGGGACATAAAGTTCAAAGTACAAAACTACAGTTTAAATCTTTTGTATGAAATCAATACGCCTAAACCGAAGTAGATAGAATAGATGTGAACCTTTAATCATGTGATTATTGGTTGGATACTCTATTCCAATAGACCATAGAAATGAAAATATAGAGTTCTCTGTCCTGATTTCATTTTGTAAATTATTTGACACAAATATTTATTAGCTCAAGCCACATAGTTCAATTCACATAGGCACAACAATGATAGATCGACAAGACAAAAAAGTAGAATATTAGATTTAGTTATCCTAATAGTAACAGGACACTAAGCAAGCCATAGAGGTAAAATATATGGATCGAAATAGTGAGGGAATAAAAGTAGAATGATTATCGTGTTCTAGATTTAAAGAACTATTTTTTAGCTATATCATTAGATTTAATATTCAAGCGTATGTGGTATAACTAAGATAAATGTTTCACTATCGAGATTGTTACAAAAAATGATTAAAAGTATGGTATATTGTGTTACAATTTCAATATGTTTTTATTTTTATTGTTCATACTAACATTTCATTGACAATATTCATTCAAGTTTAAATGATTTTTCTGTCATTATTCATCAGTAAATATAATCCATATTTAATCTTCATCCAAAGCAGTTGTAGGCGAAAAATACATGAAAGCTTAAATATCTATATCATTGTCTATTTACTCTTCGTTTCTTCGTTGACCCTGTAAATATCATATATAGCTGTCCAATCAATCTAAAATAAACATAGGTTTCTTTGATGTAAAAAATTGATATGGAACTCAACAGTCAAGTATAGATTTTTGCGCTCACCGTTTGAGCTACATATTTTAGATACAATGGATTTTGAGATTGGAATCTAAGGACTAAAAGTCAAGTACTACCTAATGAAGGATTCAGTCTCAATTTTAATAACTTATGGTGTAATTATGCTAACTGTGGACACATATTCAAGGAAATAATGATAACATATGGACTGAGGATGCTTTCGTTTCTTCATTTTACCAACATCACAGTATATAATGATTATTGAGTGATCTCATTGAGGCTTTGAATATTAAACATGTTTTATTATCCTTCATTTAATATCCTTTTTTTGTAGTGTTTGTAGTTCTTTTTACTACTGTCATTATTACTCACTCTTTCTTCGCCTTGCTATGTTTTCTCTAAAGCCAACAACTTGGAACTGTGTTTTTGGCAAATTTATTTGAGTTTCCAAGCTCAATATTTTAAGCGAATAATCATGCTCTTTTCCCGAGAAGTGCGTTACTTCTAATTGATTTCAACAGATAAGGTCGCAGAATTCTCAGTAAAATTAATATTGTAAGAGACTAGTTCAGATAGCAGTATTAGTACTGGTACTAGTAGCCTTAAATAACTAGTTTAGATTTAGTCTATTATTTTTTTTCTTTTCTTGAATACGTCATCGCTAAGAATTAAATCAGATTGTTTACATTATACAAATTCATAAATATAAAACTGACTTGCATTGTCATAATACTCCAGCTCTACTATTCCTACTTTAGAAATTTGTCTGAATAGAGACTTCTGTCTATTTTTAGGTGTGTATGCTTGTATTCTGAAAGCGCTAACGAAAATATTTAAAACAAATATTTCAAGCTATGTAATAACTGTTTATCAACCGATCAGTTAATAACTGTGTTATACGAGCTTTATGGAAATACAAAGACGTGTTTGCTATGCAGAATCGATATCACTTTGGTAATGTCTAAAAATATCTCAAACTTACAGGATAATAAAATACAATAATTAACCTTTAAGGTCAAAAGGGGTTTTGCGGATATTATAGTAATTTTAATAGTTGAGATCATGAGTCTATTGAAGGTAGACTACTATGGAAAACCTGGAAGCACTGGACAGCCTTCTCGTCCTACTGTGGGACTCCTCAGCATACTTCTAGTATACTCATTACGAGTACTTTCATAGGAGAAACTGGACTAATGGTAACAGAACTAGGTAACCTATCGATTACGTAATTGGTTAGGGTTTTCATAGGGAATTGTTAAAGTGGGTGAATGAAATCTAAATCTATAATAAACGTTAATACAATATGGTCAAGTGATGGCTGCTCACGAGAATGAATTATTATCTGAAGCCCTTGAACGATTTGTAATCATAGACAATTTATTTTAACCAGAAGGATAAATGTCTATGTTATAAAATGATATGTTTACCTATAAAATAAACATAACAAAATGTCATAGGCGATTGAAAGAAATTAGTTTATAGATTACTTACTCCAATCAGTCAGTCCCAATTTTTGGCGATTGTATCAGTTTTCTTGAGGAACAGCAGTTAACAACATAATAGGTCTTTTACATGGCTTTATTTTTTCGCTCATATACACCCAACAATATCTCATGAGTAGTAACATTTTAAAATTCATTGTTTTGAAAACGTTTAACGAATCTCTGTAACAGTCTTCGAATACCACTATCTTGAAACACCGACTTCGGTGGCTTGGACATGTTCTACGAATGTCGTCCCAGAGAATTCCACGTCGTGCATTATTTGCCGACTCTGGGACTGGTTGGAAGAAGCGGAGAGGTGGTCAGTGCATGACATGGTGTCGGGGCATGAAAGAAAGCTGCAAAGGACTGGCTTGTGTTAGTCCTTCACAACTCCCTGACTGGGGTCCGAGAAATGGTGCAACACAGTGGTTAGAGACGTTATCAGATATGGCTCAGAATAGAAACCAGTGGCGATCCTGCTATAACCTTCTTTTACTTTCTTCATAGAAAGTGGTTGTATCTTCCTTAACTGAAAGATTTCTTCTGATTGCACCTTTCCGTTCCCTCATTATTACTATTATTATTATTATTATTATTATTATTATTATTATTATTATTATTATTATTATTATTATTATTATTATTACACTTTCTTACACTAATCTGTTCGTTATTGTTCTTTTCTTTTTTTTCTCTCCGAATTCCCATTGTTTCGTATGGCGTATATATATTTGGTGCCCTCTTGTACCAATATTTATGTTAGAACAACACATATAAGCGAACAATTGTTTTCAATTAGATCGTCATCAGGCTTTACTCTAATATACATGAATATTTATACGAAAATGTTAAACCAATCAAGGCAATATGAGTCAGTAATCACAATGAAATAGAATAAGTCACTACACATAATAGGTAAAAGTACAAGTTGATAGTACGAAGACAGGTGAACAGATAGTGGTAAGAATAATAAACTACAATAACAAAGATCTTATCAATAGTTAATGGTTGGAAATAGAAGGTCAAATAAACATGGGTAAATAGACTAGGAATAGTAATCACAAAACATTAAAAATCATTACGTAATAAGATGTGTGTAAATAATTAGATAGTGAAGAATACAAAGAGGCGGATAATGACAAACATGTATATTAGAGTAAAGCTTGATGACGATCTAATTGAAAACAATTGTTCGCTTATATGTGTTGTTCTAATTTTCACAATGGGAATCTTCAATATTTATGTGTTCAAATAAATAAATACCACTTTTAAGTCTTCCGTAACTGTGAAATAATAAAACTAGATCTCAATCTACTTGAAGTAATAGTATTTCGGGATTTCATCATTCTATTTCCATTAATTTTTGTTAGCCATATGACTGATATAAAAAATAAAGTGAAAGGTTGGTGGAGTGCTATAGTATTATATATATATATATATATATATATATATATATATTGTAGTTGTTATTTAGGCGTTGGTTTCAAAACTCATAATATCAGGAAGACTATTTAAGCTGGTCTTTCTTCAAGCTACAAGTCGTAAAATCCCGAATACTATCGATTCATCGTTAAAAGAATGAATTCTCAATAAAACGGATTAGTATCTTGCATGTGATAAAGACGATTATGAGATGATATTTGATGATAAGCACCGTTTGTCCCTCATAGAATGGGTCGCGAGAGTATTTCATTATCCGTAAAATCAATAGTTTACCTATTCATAATTTGTGCAACAGAAACCAGATCTATAGAAGAAAAACCTCAATAAAGTTTATGAAACAATAAATTGTTCAGTAACCTTTATCTGGCTGTTTGTATATTTTGACTTCTGTAGATGAAATCTCTGTATCTATAAACCCGCTCTCAGTGCTATACATCTACTTTTACTCTTTTATCCTTATGGAAAAATCTTTACGATTCCCCTGAAAGAAGCTATATATGGTTAGTCGTTTGAGAAGAAATCGAGAGGTAAAGTAAAGCCTTTAAGCTGTGCCGCTACATTTTAGGATTGTTAATAATGCTGTCCTACTGCGCAATTTCAAATGAAGAAAAGTCTGTTTTACTTTTACTCGTCACTAGTTAGTTTACTGATTTGGGAAACAGTCTTTGGACACGCTGAAATTCGTTGGGTTGTCTCTTCCGTAGGCTGATGAAACATATCCTGATGTCTATAGATAAATTTAAACTTTTTCATTATAAATTTTGTGATTTGTCCATTTCCTTAGTTTCTGATCTAAATTTATCGCTATAAGAATTTGCCGCCTTTTTTGTAGATCCGAATGTAATAATAAAATAAATTCATTATCCAACTCAACTTTGCAAAATGAAAAGACAGAAGAGCATGTCAATGTACAAAGTACAAATGAAAATACGAAGTCAACTGATGAAAATACTGGCAAGTTTTCTATTTTCATATTGTCAACAAAAGTTCAGTTTTTACCGAAACAAGTCTAATCAATGAAAGAATATTTTATAGTAAAAGACTATAGATTCATTTGAACACATTGGGGATTCACTTAAAATCGGTATCAATAAAGTGGGGCTAGATAGTTGCTCCAACACTATGGAGTAGGATACTACGATGCAATGAACCAATTTGATTTTATTCTTGTAAGATGACATAGGATCTCAACTAAAGAAGCACTTTATTTCTTCATTTATATGTTTTTGATTATAATTCTGTAAGTAGATTTATTTCAAACCATACGATATTCATAATTTTAGTCATATGATGAAAATATTATCTATGGTTTTCCAATCTTTGTAAGTTAAATTCTCAACTATCTGTCTAAGGGTCGTTTGTACAATCACTAACATACTAGATGATTAATGATAACAAAGTTGTGTGGTATCTTTGTAACCGTTAAAATATGTATGTATATACATATTGATAGGGTTTTAGTTAAATAATTATGGATTATGGACAGTAAATTCATAAGTGTTTTCTTTTCTGTTAAAAAAATAGGAGTAAATAACTCACAACTAAACCAACACAGAAGGTGGTCGTTGAAAATCGTTCACGCATGTATAACTAATTCTCTTACCTTACCTCATTTATATACTTATCACTATTAACAGTTGACTTCATTGTATTCGACTATAGGGCTTCTATTCATCTATCGATTTGTCTGTTTGATAGAGATCATTTTAAAATAATTTGATAAGTATAAATGAGAGATCGCGATGTTTTGATTGTCATGTATAGATTTAAATTAACGTCTCCTTATTTAAAACTTTGAATAACTGAAATTAAAACAAAAACACTGACTAGTATGGACAGCTAGTAAATTGTGAATTTATAATGAATTCCGTTTTGCTTTTATAGTTTGTAATGAGATATTTTATGGAATGTATTTCGCTAAAAAAGCTTAATGAATATTGTTAAGTAATTCTTAGGTAGGATAGAATATTATTTTGATATTTCTTCTATTTTAATAGTTGAATTCATGAGTCTATCTAAATTAGACCACCATTGAAAACCTAAAAGCACTAGATAGCCGTCTTGTTATTATAAAAACCATTTCATTTTCTAAAGTTTAGTGGAATTCTTTGATAAATATATCTAAACAACGGAGCATTGGTTAGTAAAGGTTTACGTCAAAATCCATCAAGCAAGTATTTTTCGTAACCAATAAAATTTTAAAACTTCCATTATATGTTCATTCATATTGCCTATCCTATTTTTGAAGTATGTCATTGAAAATTAAATTTTTATTTATAGTAAAATTCTTTTTTCTTCCTTTCTTTTTAATTATTCAGATAATCAGCGAAATGATCCCAATTCATCCAGTAATATTGATAAGGAACAGCCTGACGAAACTAGTAAATCAATTATAAACGATAATTCCGTTGGTCTCTCCGATAGCACTTATGCTGTCAATATTGATGAACAGTTGAAAACTCCTGAAATTCCCTCTGAAATCGAGACAACTTTGTCAACATCATCATCAGTATCATCATCACCGCACCAACTACCAACAGCATCTTTAGAAACATTGAGTACATCTGTGAGTCAATTATTACAAAAAGAAAATAACAGTGAAGACAAAAATGTAACTAACGTTACAAACGATTTATATTTGAGAATCACTCTAATTGGAGATATAACTCATATATTTCGTCTTGCTGTTGATCGGTAAGCAAAAGTCCTCTCAGTGATTACAGCAACTTGTTGATAATCAGTATACAATATTATTATTATTATTATTATTATTATTATTATTATTATTATTATTATTATTATTATTATTGTTATTATTAATGGCTTTATTCAATATTATATTTTGGTACAATATAGAATTCTCAGTACAGGTTATTTCAACAAGTTACTTACGCAACAACAACAAAAAAACACAGTAACAAATACAAAAAAATGAAAAAGGTTTTCTTTTAAAAAAACGAAAAACTGTACAACTTTTAAAATTAAGGACATGTTAAGAATGCAAGTTATTGACTAGGTTAACTCTAACAACCTGTTCGTCACAGAGTATATTTGCTAGGTAAGGTATTATAGAACTTTTATACTTTTGCTTGCGTGCATGGATTTTAATGTAATTACGTCTCGTTCTACCAGAAGATATACAAGGAGAAAGATAAGAGTGAAGGGGATGGTTAGTATCTGATAAAATAACACCTGCCAGGGGTTTGCATGACTTTAAATGTCTATCCACAACCATATTAATTATGACTTCGAAGGATGCACCACACATCTTGCTAATCGCCTTCAGCACTCTCCGCAATACAGCAAAGTCTTTCCTCAAAAGCCCGGGAAAGAATAATGGAGAACAGTAAAGAATAATAGGTAATATGCAAGAATTGACAAGTTGTAGGAGTAAATGACGAGTACTCCCAAGAGCATTCAGTCTCTTTATGTAGTAGGTCAGACGGAAAACCTTCTTTGATAACAATAAAACGTGGGAAGACCAAGACAGATCAGAGGAAAAGGTGACACCAAGATAATTGACCTTCGACACTGTGTTTATCAAAGAGTCTCCGATGGTGCAAGCACTATGGGATCTCAAAATGGTGTTTAGATTCCGTTCATGTCTCATGCTAAAGTTAACAGCTTGACATTTAGACGGATTAACTATGAGACCATTACCAACAGACCAACAATCAATACGAGACAAAAACTCATTCATTTCTATGAGATGTAGAGAGGAAGAGATAGGCATACATACAGTGAGATCATCCGCATACTTCACAAAAGTGTTTTATGTGGAAGATGGCAGATCATGAAGAAAAAAAGAGAAAAGAAGCGGTGAAAGAACAGCTCCTTGTAGTACACCTTCATGAGACAGTAGAGACTCTGAACACTTTCCTCCAAACACAGTGTACTGTTCCCTTCCAGAGAGGTAGGAACATACCCAGTTGGTTATCCAGCTGTCAGTGTTGACGCTGACTAACTTGTTAAGTAAACGTTGTCGTGGTATAGAATCAAAAGCTGAAGTATAGTCCAGAAAAGCACATCGAACATACTTCTTACCCTTTTCTAAGTTGAACACTATGTTGTGATACAGAACAGCAACAGCATCTAAAGTGCTTCTTTTGCGTCTGTAAGCAAACTGATTCGGATCAATATGCTCTTTTATCGCAGGCTGAAGTGGAAGTATTAATAATTTTTCCATTGTTTTGAGGAAGGGTGAAGTTATTGCAATAGGTCTAAATTTTACATTCTTATCACCAGATGCTTTCATGGGTACAGGAATTATCTTCATCTTTCTCCACATTTTCGGTATGAGATTAGATGAGAGGGATCTGTTAAATATAGTTGTGAACGGATGACACAGAACGTCAGCACATTTTTTAAAAAGAATGTTTAGGATACCATCAGGTCCCAAACATCGAGATGAATTAAGCGACTGGAGACATCTTCGTACATCAGTTTCAGTGAAAGTAGGAACACAGCTATTATTTAAACCCGTGGATAGAGGGAGCATCACATCAGAAGACTGACGTACAAAAGACTTAAAGTCACAAACATTCAGCTGGTTATCACTTCTAAACTGTCTGTCACCTGTAAGTTCATTAAAGAGTTTCCACATACTTGGAGAGTTTTTGCTTATTTGTCTTTATATTATCACCTGAACCATCTAGTATATTTTTGAGCTACGTTTTGGACTGCGAACGATTTATTAATTAGAAGGTTGGAAGTAGTCAACTAGAAACCCCGCTTGACGTAGGTTTCGTGCTATTTAAAAATCTTCATCAAGGTATGTTTGTACTCTCGAAGAAACTGATGGTGGATCCTAACGTGTGTTACTCAGCCGCAGTCTTAAACGGTACTTTATTATTTTATTTATTTGAACACATAAATATTGGTACAAGAGGGCACCAAATATATATACGCCATACGAAACAATGGGAATTCGGAGAGAAAAAAAAGAAAAGAACAATAACGAACAGATTAGTGTAAGAAAGTGTAATAATAATAATAATAATAACAATAATAATAGTAATAATGAGGGAACGGAAAGGTACAATCAGAAGAAATCTTTCAGTTAAGGAAGATGCAACCACTTTCTATGAAGAAAGTAAAAGAAGGTTATAGCAGGATCGCCACTGGTTTCTATTCTGAGCCACATCTGATAACGTCTCTAACCACTGTGTTGCATCATTTCTCGGACCCCAGTCAGGGAGTTGTGAAGGACTAACACAAGCCAGTCCTTTGCAGCTTTCTTTCATGCCACGGCACCATGTCATGCACTGACCACCTCTCCGATTTTTCCAACCAGTCCCAGAGTCGGCAAATAATGCACGACGTGGAATTCTCTGGGACGACATTCGGAGAACATGTCCAAGCCACCGAAGTCGGTGTTTCAAGATGGTGACAACGATTGCATTATCATCTCTGTGCCCGAACACACGATGCCGAACCTCTGCATTACTGACATGGTGTCGTTCTCAGCGGAGTTCAATGATGTTAGGCATGAACCTATATATAACCGATTGTCATAAATAGTAGTCATACAGTGTTGAGTACCGGTTGATATTACAAAATGAACCATTCAACGTCTGTCCAGTGATCAAGAGTAAATAGTTTCACCACTTAGCCCGAACGGTTCTGTGTACTGTCGGCGGTTGAGTAGTCAGTGCTAACCTAATAAATCCCATACTAGAGTGAAACAACTATTCAGTGCCTCCCTCTGGTTTTCATTCCTGGATTTTTTTTAAAAATCTGTAAAATGGTCATTTAAACATTCATTGATTAAACCATTTTAGAAAACATGAGACTCATTTAAGTATTGTCTATTGCAGATATTAGTAGAAACATTTCTCGGAAAGATCGTTACCATGACCTTAATTTCTTCCATAAATACATATCTACCTACCTACCTACCTACCTACCTACCTACCTACCTACATACCTACATACATACATACATACATACATATACATATGCATATTTTGAAGTTTTAAACTACCTAGTTTTACAAACAAACATCATAGTTTTATAGTTATGTCTTGTACTGTGCAGGTAAAATCATAAATTTAAATTATTGCACAGAATTATAAGCTTTTACCGTGAAATTTTAGCTTCATAAAAGTAGAATGCAAAAACGTTGACAAGGATCACAAAGCTAAGTGTCATTCTAGTTTGATTGAAATGATGACAGTTTTTTGACTCAAGATTCATCGGCCTATTCATCTTTGCTTTTTTACGCCTTCATCGTTGAAATCTATTTGACTCTGTAAAAATGACTAACAGAATATACAGTCTTCTAAACATCTACGAACTAATTCCTTCTCCCTGTATTATATCCTTATATGCAGTCTTCTATTTATTACTACCATTGAAGTAACTACTTCTATGAATTTGGTGACCATCTTGTCGTGCTAATGAGGCGTGGCAACTTGAACAAATGTATATATGTGCCTGGTTCTACGTTGTAGCTGACTGACTGAAACATATTCGATAAGAATGTTTGGTCATTTTACACCCTTACTATAATTCGAGCATTATATGATAACTTAAGTGAATTTTTCGATCACTTCATCTACATTCAAACAATTAATTGGCCTTAGTAAAACATAAATGATCAATATTTTGATCAGCATAAAACAGACTTTTTCATCGCTGGAACAATTGAACCGTCTTTAATTCCGATAAATTATATGAGTATATTTTGGTCATTGAAAGGTGGAAAACAGGAAAGAACAAACATAGATTACTTGAGTATTGAGTATTAAACTAAGACGATTGATTAATATCAGTCCCAACTTGATGTTCATTTAGAGTCCTTCAAACTCCAATGTTTTGTTTATTTATTTAAACTCATAAACATTGGTATAAGGAAGCACCAAATATATATGCGCCACACAAATCATTCGATTTGTGTGGGGGCTAGAATACTCTCCGGGCTCCCAAACATAAGCAGGTTGTTTTATTAAGGGGCAACACCCCGAGCTTTTGACTCAGAGTTCTAATCCTCAATATAGAGTGGAGCAACGTTAGGAGATGCAGTCGCATGGTAGTTCGTGACCAACAATATGTTCATACACCATTTGTCCCTTCAGGATCCTGGAGCTCATATGCACCATTGGTTTGGAATCAGAATTTCCCAACTCCCCTAGATGGGTCCTCCATATCCACTAGGGCGATTAAAGCACCGAACATCCGCTTTTCGTCCTTTCAATTATGTAAATAACACACTTCATCATTTGTTCGTCCTCAAATTCTAATAGGCATACAATACTCAATCTATATACTATGGTTTGTCTGATTCCTTGGCTGCAAATTGTTCTAAAAATTTGTTTTCATTTCATCATTATTTTCCATAATTCTGCTCTTTATTAGTTTATATATGGAGTTTACGTTTCTTTCCCGTTAACTACTAATTTGCTTAAATCATCCTACTTCCATCTGTTTCTCGGAGTATTTTATACTAGGATTCTAAAATTTCTTTAGCAAAATTACATTCTGTAGCGCTGACAGTTTCTGTCAATTTATTTTTAGTATTATATCCCTTGATTATCTGTAAATTTGTGTACATACGCCAGGTTCTACGTCGTACCTAAATATGCTACGTTTGAAGAGATCATGATATCATCCAAACCGGCAAACGGAACGAAAGTTAGCAACACAACTATAGGACAAGTTAAACTATTCACTGCGTCCCAGCTCTGGTAACTAGAGGGAGAACACCAGGTTTAGCGAGAGAAAAGTGTATTTCACAAGCAGTTGGAAGCACGAACGAACAAGCACACAACTCAAGCGTATATATACAGTATAAAAATGCCCTTTACAAACGTCACAAAATAGCTTATCAAAAGAGGAAACGAACTAATTATATTTAAAGTCCTTCTAAGTGAGAAATACAAGCTGAAGGTTAAAACGGGGGCTTTTGGGCGCGAAAATGAGAAATTCAAATTTTAAAAACCAAATTACAAAAATAAAACGTTCATCAAGTGGTTTCTGGGGATCTAGCATCCCCAACAAAATGACTAACATAAAAAAATATATATTTTATCTACTTTTGTTACTACTTAACAGCTTAGTTAAAACATTATAATTGGAATTCTACAAATTTCAGTCAATCAAATAGATGATACAACAAAACAGCCACAGATTGCTTGATGTTAAAAACAGTAAAATTACATTAGCTACTTAGAAAACGTAAAAAAGGATTTCTTTTCTTGCTCTTCAAGACTAGACAATATTTTTCTTTTTTTTCTTGAAATGTTTTCCTAATGCTGAAATATCATCAATCAACTATCATCTTAATTCTTTATTTGTTTGTTTTAAAAGCCTCACTCAAGTCTACAGTTTTCTTTTACGTGCTGGTGTAGGCAGTTTAGACAAGCATATAGAAGTTAACAATCATTCTGAACAGGTCGTTATTGGAAATTCTGATAAAGTAAGAATTTTATATTGTAATTAGTAAGTATTTTCAAAGGATGTCAAAAGTTCTCTTTGTCTAGTTCACATTTGTGTTGTGTTTGGCTTTTCACTATAGCCCTGTATATATTAGTGTAGAGCTATGATGAAAAACTAATTGAAAAGAAATATTTCTTCGTTCTGTTTGACGTTTCACGAAATTTCTAAATGGGAATTTTCACTCTAAATAATCAGACAATTTCACCTCAATTCTTTCACATATTGTGTAAACAATGTTTTTATAATTATTGATTATGCTATTTTATTCAACTCGTATTGTAAATACAAAACAAAACTAGTGTTTGTAAATAAAGTCGTTGTTAAAATCGATCGAAAATCATGTTGTTATATTTTTCAACAATTTATTACTGTTTTGTTCTGAAATTCTTGAGTGTCCCATTTTTTCAACCCATTATTCGTTGCGATTTCACTTCGTAGGTGACTTTGTTCTATGTTATCGAAAATCATTTGTATTTACAGATATACTGTTTAGTATGATGGATTTTTTTAAGATAGTGAATTATTTTTCTATATATATGACAAACAATCTTTCTTATCACATACAACATTGTTCACTAGCTAAATTATTGTTAATTTACACCTTTTTCAGTTTCTAATTTTCACTTTACTTTTGTGAGCATCGATTATGTTTTGTTCTGTTCTGGAAAGTTGAATGAGGAAATAATAATCTAAGGACGAATCTAACATGACTACTGTAAATCGATCGACTGTTACTAAATAACGACACTTGATCAAAATGCAATCATGTATAAGAAATGAGACTAGTCATTATGTGAAGATTTCTATATTTCGGGAAAAACACAATCATTGAAGTAAACATGATTGGTTAAATACAACTTGCGTGACTTTATTAAGTATTTTTTTGGTTGAGATCATGAATTAATTGATGTTAGACCACCATTGGAAACGTGGAAGCACTGGACGGCGGTTTCGTCCTAGTATGGGACCCCTCAGCAGTGCGCATCCACGATCCCGCACCCCGCGGGATTCGAACCCAGGACCTACTGGCTTCGCGCCTGAGCACTTAACCATTAGACCACTGAGCCGGCATCCAATGGTGTTAGTGTCTAACATCAACCAATCCACGAAATTGCGCGACCACCTTCCATTGTACTGAGGTAGATACCTGTCTCTACCCGACACGGATTAGCTCCACTGGTCACGACTTCTCACTAGAACTCCGAGAATTCCCTTACGAAGCTAGTCACTAGTGAGCACATGTTAATTATCAGTATGGTGGTTGTGGAGATTGTTAAGTTTTGGTTGAGATCATGAATTAATTGATGTTCGTGGATGCGCACTGCTGAGGAGTCCCATACTAGGACGAAACGGCCGTCCAGTGCTTCCAGGTTTCCAATGGTGGTCTAACATCAATTAATTCATGATCTCAACCAAAAACTTAACAATCTCCACAACCACCATACTGATACTTTATTTAAGTAGTCATAAAATAGTTTTAAATATTCCCATATTGTAAACATATATAAGCGAACAATATTGTTTTCGCTTAGATCCTCGTCAGACTTTACTCTAATATACAGTAATATGTATATGCATATACGAAATTATTAAACCAATCAAGGTAGTTTATAAGTCAATGATAACAATGGAAAAGATTACATAATAAGTAAAATGTGAAAAGTACAAATTGATGGTGTGATAACAGGTGCATTAGTTTTGATAAAAATAATAAAGGTTCAAATCAATGTTACATAATCTGAAATAGGTCAATGATTAGAAAAATGTAGAAACTGAGATAACAATTATAAAATTATAAGATGACGTAATAAGAAGTGTTCAGATAATTGGACCATGAAACGTATAGTTGAGAGAAAATAAAGTAGTAGGAGGGTGTGAAGAAAAATATTAAACGAAGAGAAAGTTAGAAAATAAATTCATTTATTACTTAAGGCCAGGGGAGAGATAAGGGTGTTACAGATTTCTTCTGAACACAAAGGCTTGGCTTGTTGGCTCGGATTCCTATAGCTTCTGCTATGTGTAAGGGACGAGATCGAACACCATAAGGAAAACTAGTGGGAATACGATAAATAACTTTGAATGACTTGTTTCTGTCCACTATATGACCGCTATCGATCAAGTGTGATAATTTGTTGAGTAGTAAACTTGACTTGAACATATTGAAGAAAAGGTTCCAAAAAATGCATTGTTCCATTAGTTTCCTAGTCACGATATATTATATCACAAAAGGTATAAAATAACAATAAAATTTCTCAACTAAATCTAACATCATCATATCAGTAGCCTCTATCATAGCTTCTATCATATGAAATGAGAAATATAACCCTTATAAAGATTTAATATATCTGCTGTGATTAAAAATAAATAACTAAATAAATAAAACAAATGAACAGTACAAAGTCTAATTGATTCAGTTTTTTTCTTTGTTTAACCTTTAATAAAAATTATTATTTATTAATTTATGCATACAAAAAACAAACAAACAAAATGTATTTTGCTCTCATTATTAACACTTCTAGAATGAATTGTAAGAAGGTTTTTTTCTTTTTTTAAGAAAAAATTGGTCATCTCACTTTTGTGTAGGATGTGAAAATTATTTTGTTTTAGATCATTTCAATAAAGTTTATTTTAATTTTTTTCATAATACCTATGTTTTTTTCGGGGAGTGGGGGGTGGAATTGAGTACGTAGTTCAATTTCTCCTTTCACCATTTATTGATTAAATTTGTGCACATTTAACATGAATGAATTATGTTCAACAAACTTATTATTTTTCTGTGATTCATATTTTATTTCTTTTTAATTTCATATAAAGTTTGTCTCATTCACATATATATTTATTCTGATTGAAGTGTTTAAGTTGTTAACGAACAGATCTTGACTACAAAACAACCTCAGCAGTGCGCATCCACGATCCTGCCTTGCGAGATTCGAACCCAGGACCTATCAATCTCTCGTGCAAGTGCTTAATCACTAGACCATTGAGCAGGCCAACATCCAACGGTGTTAATGTCTAATTTAAACTAATCCACAAAATTGAGCGACATATCCACCATTGTGATCAATGAGTTACTATCTCACAATCTTCAATCGACTCATGATCTCAACTATTGAAATTACTATAATATCCACAAAACCCCTTCAGATACAAAATAACTGTCAAGGTTTATATGATTTTCATTAATTATATTGAGGAAGACAAAAATAAATTTGTAATCAAAAAAGTCTAAGTTATTCAGTTCTTTTTCCTTACAGCTAGATGAAATAGCTAACTTTTTCTTAGATATAAATGATAAACTTTTTTCAGATGAAGAAACTTCAGTAATGGAGATTATACACAGACATTGATTGTTACGCGTGATTTTCCTTTCGATTTTGTTTCAGATATATATTTCGTTAGGTACTTTAACGGTTAGTCGCGGCCATCTTGTTGAAGAGAAATCATGATTAATGTATCTGAAACAAAAATCAGAAGTAAAGTCACCAATGATACCATGAAAGGCTTCATTCCTGAAATTACAGTTCACAGGTAATGTAACTGGCTAAATAGTAGTTCGACTTACACAGAAAACCTTGGGAAGTAACATTATATCCTACTTTCCTCAACCGGACGATTGTGATTTCACGAAATAATGATAAATTGTTTGGTTTTTCTGTCTCTGCGTGTGTTCACCACTTCAACTTCTATTGTGGAGCTAGTTGTATTAAGCCCACATCTAGACAAATACATTGTCATATTTCTGAACATCACCTCTCATAGTTGACCGAAGAATAAAGTAATAAGAAGTTTTATCTGGAAGCATTAAGTTGACACTTGTCACCACATAGATGAAACTTCAACAATTAAAATCATTCACAAAATCTCATAGAACCAATCCTATGGTTTCAGAATCCAACTTACAGCAGAAACCATAGGAATACATATAAAAATCTTAACCACTGTATGCAGAAAAAGTTTATGCAGCCTCTGGACTTACGCTGGCTATCTGCGTAGTTACTATTACGTTTCTCACGATTTTTCTAAACTTCCTATTTCATAAAATCCTAATTTTAATTTGAAGATTACGTAGTGTGTTTAATAATTGGATTATTTAATCTTCATCACGCTTACTTTACTAATTATTCACAGATAACGCAAGCATTTATCTGCAGTTTCAGATGATGTTCTTATTCTTATGTAACTGGTTGAGACAATCAACTGTTTATAAAATCTCCTCTTAGTTTTAATATTATTTTTTGAGTCATATTATTAGCTGAAGCCTGTATTGCCAAATTAACTTACCACCATGAATTTGGTTTTGATTTTAGACTTATTTCTAAAACTTGTGTCCTTATAATGAGCCTTGATGAGGAACTTACTGAAAAAAAACCCTGAACATTTAATGTTTCAATGGGTATATGTTATGAAAATAAATCCTTCAAGCCCTAGAAATCTGATTTATTCTTTTTCTACTTCATTTTAGGATTTTTCGCAAGTTTATTTACATATTTCGTTTCTTTGGTATTTGTGTGATCATATTTTAATTGAGTTTATTTTATTGCATATTGTTATAACTTGTGCCTGTGTCCCATTAATGTATAATGTAATGATACCACCAATTAGAGAACAGTGAATTATCGACTGAGCGAATGATGCATAAAACCTGTACGACCAGTGTAGAGTCCTTAGCTATCCTGCTTCCTGCCTAGCCCTGCTTGTTAAGTCCAGAACACCATTCTCAGCCTCTGTAATATGAATCATTTATTTCAAACATACTGGGTTTATAAACCAACCAAACAGAACACATCGTACCATAAAATAGGAAACAACATTTGTACAAGATTTAGCCTAAAGTGTCTGTGAATGTGGGAGACTGTAATTAATAAGCTGGGAATAACTTAAGAATGGTAAATCGTATAATAATAGTCTATGGGTCAAAATAAAGCTTATGATAAGAGGAACAGGAATATTAATGGTTTAGTTACTTAACAATTATGCTATATAAAATATACATATAATATTACTCCAGAAATAGATTACAACGGTTACCATTCATTATTCTCATCGGGATATAACATATTTTATTCATCATTAAAGGTCACTTAACCTCTTATTTCAAGCTGTGAGGTCTTTCTTTACTGTTTTATTCCACGTTTTAGATCTTCCTTCTGAATTCTTTAAAAACCATATAAATTTTAATAAACTTTGGTGTATTTTACCGGGTGTTAGTGGGCTATAAATTGAATTAAAGCACGTTCGATTTGCGATTGTGTTGGTGCACTCTGATTGGTTAATTCTTATCCAATCAGCGCTAGTTGATACTTGGAGAAGACTCTAGAATCTTCTCATCTAAAAACTATAAATATACTAATGTTTCTCTTATTGTTATTCTTACTTCCATCTTTCCCTGTTATTTGGAATATAATTTCTTCACTGTTCAACCATGTTCTGATTTGGGTGTCCAAGAATACTAAGCAATAGGAATAGCTGGGTTGTAATAAGGAAAATTATAACACCAGTATACACCCACATCAATTTTTGATCAATTCCCTCTTCATATCTATACGTTTATCTTAAACAATATTTGTAATTTACACATTGAAATGTTATTACGGGATGTTAGCAGTTGATGAACAAGAATTATTATTAAATAAAAAACGCTAATGTTACGGGGCCTTTAAATTTCCTTCTTGTTATTTCCAATATCATATTTATTGCTTCCGAGTGTTATTGAAGTTTTTTATGTTCATGAAATGTTTCCTGACATAAAAAAGTGTCACACTTCTTCAGCATTGTGTTGTTAAGCAAATAACATTTAGTGTTAAACGTAGCTTAGATTACTATGTATATATTCGTACAAAACTATGGGTTTTTTTTAACCTCCTTAACATCTCTGCATAGAAAGATGAATGACAGAGGCAGTTAGTTCCTAGGTAATTTTATATGATGTGTATAATAATTACAAGGTTTTTATTGTCATGTTTATATTCTTTATGATTCTTTTGATCAATAGGGACAGGCGTTAGATTCTGATTCTACAGTATGTCATCGTCGTAGTTTAGTTGAAGAAATGTTAGAAAGTCTGGAACAATCTATTCATGTACCAATACTCAATGGTGGTGAAAGCAGAATATTAACTAATGACATGCTAGTAGATGTAAGTTATTAAATGTCTTAATTAGAAGTAGTAGTTTTAATCAAATGATATCCCTTGTTCTTTGTGCTTACTAACGTTTAAATGAAATTATTGATAAGATATTCACACTTAGGTAAGTTACAATTGCATGTAATTCAGAGAAATTACTATAACTATATACATTATAACACTGATTTCTGGTTTTTTTACTGGAACTTCTGAGTCTGTAAATAGTTTATCCTATGAATAAAAAGATCCAAATAATTGGGGTTGTTATAATAACTGTTTACTTTTATAGTGTTTTTCCTATCACTGATTTCTTCTTTATTTACTTCTATCAGAATGTTTGTTTACTCTGTTATCTGAACAATCAACAGTTACGTTGATCATGTTGTAAACAAACTGTTGCTTTTTCAAACTCTAGATTATCATAAGATCGTGTAAAATTATACGTTAATTACAATATAATCCATACTTGTACTAATGAGAGGTATTTTATACGGTTACCGAAGAATTAATATACTCTTTTTGTGTAAATATGGGTAGAAAATGTTATTGCAAGCATTACAATGTTTAGGTGCGTTTACAATTGTTTTCAGAAGCAATCTTAAATTTCATCATTCCATTACTTTCTAGCTTAGTGTTAACTTTCCTGCATATTGGAGTAGTTCTAACTTAAATTCTATCTACAAATCTGAAGATGATGGCTATTGTTTAAACACAGTGTACAGAAAGTGTAAAGATGTTGAAGGTAGTGTTTTATTGCTTATACGTGATACAATGGGCGTTGTATTTGGTGCAGTTATGTCGGAAACAATGAAATGTAGCAAACATTTTTATGGGACTGGTGAAACATTTGTCTTTCATTGGAAACCAACATTTAAAGTAAGTATTTTATACCTTATTTTACACAGTATTATTATTATTATTATTACATTGTTTATTCAATATTTTATTTGTATATTTTACGACTATGTACATTAAATATTTACTTTGAAATGATCAAGAGAACATAACCGAGTCCTAGAACTGGGTTTCACATTATCTGTCAACAATCAGTAAAACATACCGTGTTCACTTCGTCATTTAAATGTATACATTAGTCACATGGATTATCACTGTTCTACTTCAGCTATAAATTTAAATCAACATATGTTCTCCTTAGCTTTTAAACAAACTCTACTGACGTGTTAAAAATAACTAAGATCAGATACCATCCAAGCATTTGTCAATGAGAACTGTATAAATATATATCCAAATGTTTTACTCGTTGCTTAGTACATACTTTGATGATAATTCTTTTATAGTGGCTATCACTAGAATACATGACACTTATTTTGTCCTGTTTTGAATTCGTACTCTGAATTTTGTTGATTTGTACTGTTGTTCTTTTCAGTGAAACTGGAACACGATTTCATTAGCTTCTCTTACCCTATACTATGTTGTATCCACAAAGCTGATGAGTCACAATAGTCACAGTTTTTTTTCAGTAAGAAATTTACGTCTATATGTTTAGTTGTTATAATAAAGAATTCGCAACACAAAACCATATTTCCATAGATTTCACTTTAACTTCGATATGCATCAGTGTTTGTCACGGGTTCTAGCTTACATAATTTCACTTTCGAGTCCAGATTCTTAACTGTGTGTTGATTATTATTTACTCCAATGCGTTCTTCTATTTCTGATTGGGAGCTTTTAAATAGTGTAGTAATATTATTCAGAATGTACACAAATTTGTAGGGATTAAACAATGTATTTCTTACTAGTCATATTCTCATTATGCATCAAACACTGATTTCATGTTATTTGGAAAAAGCTTACTCTAAATTGCTCGAAAGGTTTAATTTTTTAATGACTGTGTGTAACGTTTTTTTCCACAATGTTGAGCAATTGGTGTTTAATTTTTTCACTACTTTCGTCCTAGTATGGTTTGTTGGAGTCAGAAAATTGACACCGTTGAATGCCGGCTCAGTGGTCTAGAGGTTAAGTGTTCACGCGCGAGACCGAAGCACGTGGGTTCGAGTCCCGCACGCGGGATCGTGGACACACACTGCTAAGGAGTCCCATACTAGGACGAAACGCCTGTATAGTCCTCCCGGGTTTTCAATGCTCGTCTAACATTGATCGGTTCATGATCTCAAACAAAACTCAATTATCTCCACAACCCTGTATTGATAATCATATCATCACGGTGAAAATAACAAGTAGTTGAATAATTAGTCGACATGATTAAAACCGGAATAAAAGAATATATAAAAATCAATATGATTATGTAAACGATTATCGGTTCTACCCAAGAGTATCTCATCGATGATCAATTCAATATTGTCATCATTTTTCATTAATTAATTATTACTTTTATCATTAATGAGTATTTAACGTTAATTCCTATTGTGGATTGACATCAGTTGGAGTGATATTTAAAAGAAAATAGTAATAAACTGCTAGCGCTGACAAACTAATCAGTAGTATGTACGTACAACTCTACATTTAATCGAAACCTACATCTTTCAGCTTTCACATCAAGCGATATTATGCAGTGATTATCCAGTGTTATTGACAAAATTCGTGCATTTTTTTCTAATTACAGAAATATTGTTGGACTAAGAAGAATTATTTTTTCATGCGAGGATCTCTTCATTCATTTCATATTGGCGGTCAAAGGTAAGTTGGTTTATTTTTCCAATTATTTTGATATGTATAATGAGAAAAATGTTCAATTTTTGTGTATAATGCATCTTAGAATGTAATATGTACTGTTATATAAAGTTTAAATTTGGTATCTACTGTTTGTTAATTGAAGTTTTAACAAGTTTGAACTTTTTCACCCTGAAAACATTTTCTTTTTGAGATCATAGAACAAAATCATTAGAATAAACTTTGAGAGAAAACTGTTATTCTTTCTGATCGTTATATTTACTATATTGTTGTTGATCTGTTTTGCTACTCATTCTGTTAATTTCATCGTCTGATTGGTGTCATATGGCCACTTAAACCAATACATATGTATGTTGGGCTCTGCGCGTGTTGATAATTGACTAACTGACTCTACATAAGAAAATATAATGGTCAATGGATTCATCTTAGCTTTGAACTATTTGGTAATTCAAAATGTTGACTGTAAATTGAGTTCAAAATCTGAGGCCATCAGATGACTGAAAGAGCATATTAATTTCAGACTACTGATTAAGAATTGGAACGATTTGCATTTTTAACATTAGTCCATTCAAGATATTTCTTAATCCCTAAGTAGATCCTCTACATCTACTATTCCCTGTTTTAATTTCGTCTGAATATTTCCAGTAAGTAAAGCCTACAAATAGAATTTCGCTGGGACAGGTTATTAAACTGTGATCATATGACAAATTATTTTAAGAGGTCAATTCTTTTTTTTTCTTTTTGTCACAACAGTTATTATGACGACATTTGTCACGTCCTTTTTTGTTTGTTTGTTTTTGTCTTAAAGCGGACGAAATGCAATATGGTTTGATGAATCATTAAAATATGGTTGTAGTGAACCGACCGACACATTTGACAATCCTGTACTCAGTGGAAATTTACCAGATATACAATTCTCTTCTTTATCATTGAATAAATCTGATAAAAATGAGAATGTTTTAATAGAAAACAATATTAATAATGTACATGTTAATTCTAATCCATTAAATCCAACGATAAAATCTTCATCTACAGTATGTGATAGTGTCTCATTCATAATTGATACATTTGAATTGTGGCAATTAATCAGTTGTTAGTGTGATAAAGTTTTACATATTTTATTGTATTTGATCTATCTATGATTTCTTGTTATTAACTTATTACAAATCCATATTTGTTAAATTGTATGACAACTATGTTAGTATCCTTTTATTTTTATGACATATTGTATGTATATGAATGCTGAATTGTGTAATAATGATAGAAATTGTCGATCAACTTTTCTTTTCCCTTAGATTATGTTTGATTGACTTGATTGCACTATGATTACTATTATTGTTATGAGTTAAAGGATCTATGATTTCAGCTTGAAAATAATATGTTTACAGGCAGTAATTAATAGATTGAAATGATTTCTCTCTTTTGTTTCGTCATGTCATTCCATTAATTGATCAGTATGCTTTGTTTCCTTTTTTTGTAAAATAGTTTCTATTGTTTTTCGTTTACTAAAATATGAATAAACAAAAGTATCACACTTGCTTTTATGTCATTATCCACAATTATTTCACTTCATACCTACAATATAATATTTATGTTAAATCTATCAAAGCGTCTAAATCACCCAATTGAGGTACGCGCGCAATCGAATTTCACAAAACAGCAGTTTGTCTAAAAACTGGTTCTTTATTGAATAATATACATAAATTAGTTACAAATCTCAACTTGTGAGGTATCTGTGGCGTTTACCGCGTCTGTAAGTCTGAAATAAATAGGGCTTCCTGCATTAGTAACATAAAGAATAATAACGATATGCAATAGTGCAAGTGACAGCTGATAGTTGTGTCCAAACTTGATAACATTTTATCAACAAGCAAAAACGGATTCAAGAGTAAACAATGTGGAAACCATTACGTTTGAACAAGGGTTGAATGATAACACAAAAGCTGTGAATAATTGCTACAGGGATTGGAAGAAATTAATTATAACGATAAATACAAAATTGCTATAAGTATATGTAAGTATTTTTGAATATTACACGACAAACTTGCATTATAACATACGCATGGAAATTGCTAGGAATACAACTATTTACTGGACATTAATAAGTAGTATAATGCAAAACACAAAATAGTTAAAGGGAAGAGAATAAGGACAGAGACTGTAGAGATTTAACAATTTACTAGGGATTATCTAACCACATATAATGTAAATAACAACCTTTTCACGGTTTAATATCAGCTATAGTGGACTGGTAAAGATTCATGAAGCACAAGGAAAGTCGTCCTAAAAGCTACTGAAGTGCAAGGATTTGCTTAGTACATTCACTACCATGTGGTAAACTTGTCTAATTTTCTCAGGTTTCTTGTTCCTATGTTATGTATAGGTTTCGAATGATTATAGAAGATTTCCTTAGACCTTGGAATTTATACCTCAAGAGGATTTCTATCCTCAAATGAGATTGCTTTCAGTTTTTAAACTTTTCATGGCATATCAGTAAATTTATGGTGGTCGGTATTCGATATATCCCTTAAACTTCGTATACAATTCGTCTTGATAACCGTCCTATTTAACCCCAACGGTATATTATTCAGAAGGCAAACACGAAGCGTTGATTACGTTTATTTCGAGACCACACACACAGATGTCCAAAATTACAGATGCATTAAACGAGCATTAAGAGTTGTGTCGAACGCCAAACAGGCAAGCGAGCGACTGAGCGAATGTAAGTAACCGAGTACAATCAAGCGAGCGAGAAAGCAGAGTCAACCATATGAATAACGTGGACATATATATAGCATGTGAAATTAATGAGTAATCGAATCAAATAAGCGGTTAGTAGTGAGACTATCAGAGTGACATAAATGCGTAGGCCGTAAGCAATATTCAAGCATGCGTATTTCATACAAGCACAAAATAATAATAAGGGTACAATAAATTGTTATAGTGCGGATGGCTTTGTCCGCTAAATAAGTTAGCAAAAGGGCTTAACTGAGTTAAATGAGAATAAACCCCATTTGCACGTGAGTCGCTATAATAGCTCCCCCTTGCAAACGAAGATATATGGAAAATGTCTATGTTTGCATAAAAAAAATAGTAGACTGAATAGGGTCGTTTCAATTGTTTGAAAAAAAGGCTTATAATTAATATTTAAAATAGTAGATCATTAATAAAAAATCGTAGCGACATATTGTTGGAGCCATCTTACTCTGCGGCCGGATCTTGTTGTTATCGGAGTCTTGTCTTTTTGTTGCGTTAACGTTGTTGATTTTTGGGACTCGTGTTTCGCTGGTGTGACCATCTTAGATGAGTCTGTACTTGTTGATTGATTATCGCTATCGATGAAAGCTGGCTTTACTCGATCGATGCTAATTACATCTGTCTTCCCAGCTTTTTCTATGGTGACCGTTTTATTTGTCCTCTCTATCACTTTAAATGGGCCGTCGTAACTCGGTTGTATTTTATCTCTTCTGATGAATACGTGAGAGCTGTTATGCAGTTCCTGTGGTATGAATACCCGTCGTTGTTGTGGTCTGAGAGGTGTTATTTTTAAATCGCTCATGTGCTTTCTCAGGCGTTGCACATAGCCGGTTACATCAGTCGGGACATTTTTACTTGAAGTGAAAAATTCTCCGGGTAACCGTAGAGTAGTTCCGTAAACTAACTCGGCCGGACAACATCCCATGTCTTGTTTAATTGTTGCTCTTAGAGCTAACATTACTAGGGGAAGTTTATTAGACCAATCGTTGTTAACGATGACGGCTGTAAGGGACGCTTTTAATTGCCTATGTAGGCGTTCGACCATTCCGTTTGCCATTGGACGGTACGACGTCGTTCGGATTCGTTTAATACCGAGGAGTTCTGTAAGCTGCTGAAAGAGTCGACTTTCGAATTGTGCTCCTCTATCAGTTGTGATAATCGTTGGTACACCGTAGTAAGAAATCCAATTTCCAACTAGGGTTTTGGCTACCGTTTCAGCTGAGGTGTCTTTTATCGGCACTGCTACCGGCCATCGTGTAAACATATCGATGCATGTAAAGATATAGTTGTATCCATTTGAAACGGGCAGTGGTCCTACAATATCGATGTGTATATGTTCAAATCTAGTGTCTGGGTGCAAAAACGGACCTACTGCAGAGCTAGTATGACGATGTACCTTAACGTTTTGGCACTTCATGCATGCTTGTGTCCAATTACGTACATCGTGATTCATGTTTGTCCATACGAATCGTTCACTAGCCAACTTTATCGTGGCTTTTATTCCTGGGTGCGACATGTTGTGCATGCTTTCGAATATTTTGTGTCGCAACGTTTTGGGGATAAATGGTCGCGGTCGGCCTGTTGATGTATCGCAAATTACTTTCGTGTTACCAAACCGCACCTCTTCGAGTACTAATGATGTTGAACCACCGGATCTGAGTTTATTTGGCTCGATGTCTCTCTCCTGTAACTTTGCTAGACCGTTATAATCAATTCCACTTGCCATAAGTGTGCTTATCGTTGCTCGTGACAATGCGTCGGTCACATCGTTTTCTTGTCCTTTAACGTACTGTATGTCGGACGTGAACTGTGAAACGAACTCTAGTTGTCGGATCTCTCTCGGGGAATAATTGTCTTGCTTTGCGCTTAATGCTTTCGTTAGTGGTTTGTGGTCTGTATAGACGGTAAAACTTATGCCTTCGACCATATGACGGAAGCGTTTTATTGCTAAGTAGATTGCTAATAATTCTCTTCCAAACGTACTATATCTCGTTTGGGTAGGATTTAATCTTTTCGAGAAAAATGAAAGTGGCTCCCATGCACCGTTTACTAACTGCTGCAAAACGGCTCCTACTGCTAAGTTCGATGCGTCTGTCATTACTGCTAATGGTGCTTCGTTCTTTTGTCGTACCAACATAATTTTCTCGTTTAGCGCTCGCTTAGCGTTCTCAAAAGCCTGTATAGCATCCGCTGAAAGACGGAATGTTCGAGTATGTCCTCGCAAGGCATCCGTCAATGGCTGTAATATTGCTGCGCAGTTTGTGATAAATCGTCTATAATAGTTTATTAGCCCCAAGAATCTTCGTAATTTTCTTTGTGAATCGGGCAACGGATAATTACGAATAGCAGCAACTTCTGTCGGAACTGGCATGATACCATGTGAATTTATCATATGACCTAGGAATTGCAATGATTCCTTTCCAAATTCACACTTTTCCACGTTAATAGTGACGCCATGTTCTTGAAGTTTCGTAAACAACTGTCGTAGATGTTGTAGATGTTCTTCCCTGGTAGAGCTAGCTACTAGTATATCATCGATATATGCGTGAACTCCTGTCAAACCCCTGACGACCTGATCGATGAATCTTTGGAAGGTTTGGGCTGCATTAGTTAATCCGAAGGGCATTCGCAAAAACTCGAATAACCCAAATGGAGTAGTTATAGCCGTTTTAGATATATCTTCTGCCGCTACGGGAATATGGTAATAAGCTCGAACGAGATCGATTTTCGAAAATATCGTGGCACCTTCCATATTGGTAGTAATGTCGTGGATATGTGGTATCGGATATCTGTCCGCTATCGTTTGCTTGTTAAGGGCTCTATAGTCTCCGCATGGCCTGATTTCCCCATTCTTCTTCGAAACCATATGCAATGGGGACGCCCAGGGACTATTAGAAGGTCTTATGATACCAAGCTTCGTCAACTTTTCGAACTCTCGTTTCGCGACATTCAACCTTTTCGGGTCTAGCCTTCGTGGTCTTGATTTAGTCGGTGGACCTTTCGTTATAATATGGTGCTGTACCGTACGTTTAAAATCTCTGTTATCGTATGATACCTTCGTCAGATCGGCATACTCGTTTAGAAGCGATCTATATGGCTCGTTTTTGTCTTTTGACACTACTAAATTCATGGATGCGTGATCAGTCGTCACTCCTCTTATCACTACTGAATGGTCGCCGTTCACGAGCCGGTTTCGTCGGGTATCCACTAGTAAGTCAAAATTCTTTAAGAAATCAATACCAATTATAGGTACGGATACATCTGCGATAATGAATTCCCAGCGGAATGAGGTAGTACGACCGAAATTCAAGGTTACTTTTCGCTTGCCATATGTTTTTATATCGGATTTATTTGCTGCCTTAAGCGTTAGCGCTGTATCGATATTTCGTGTTTCGTTACTTACTGGAGGCACGACGCTTACTTCTGCTCCCGTATCCACTAAGAATTGAGCGCCTGTCACTCTATCCTGAACGTAAAATAAACGACTGTTTCTAGGAGCTGTTGTAGTTGTTGCGGCGGTTATCGACAATCGGTGTGTTCGTTTGAATTTACATGGTGATCTACAGTTTCGAGCTTAGTCGCCGAAAGTTTGATGGTACCAACATATTGTAGGAGCTGAGCGTCTCCTAGAACCTGATCGACTTCTTTCCCTTGATCTACTTAGTGACCATCCTCTTTGCGTATCGCTCTGATTTAGTTTCGTCAGCTTGTGGCACAAAACATTAATCTCCTTTTGTAATGCATCGACTCGTCCATCTACTGTGGTACTATGCCTTTGCGGACTCGTTTGTTTC